ATCACTTGAAGGGGGAAGAGTGAGAAGAGGAGTTCGTATAACCTGGAAGGACAATCCAAATTTAACTGGAGAGGAACAGCTTCTGAGCAGGATTGCCCTGGGTTTGGCTGGGATAGAGTTCATTTTCTTTCTAGCAGCTGTGTTTGGACTGAGAATGAGAATAATGTTGAAAACTCACTGATGTAATTGTTACTAAACAGTGAACCATCGAGTTCAAAGTTCGGTGAGAGACCCAGCTACCAGTGGAGGAGAGAGAAGCACTCCCAGCATCCTTCAAGGGTGTTAGCCAAAGGGTGAAGGAAATGTTCTTTAGCTCCTTAATGGATTCTTGCTAAGATGTTAAAAATGGTGACAGTGGCCTGGGCTTAGAGGTTGCTCTTCTTAGGATGACAGCATCTGATAAAATTACCAATCAGCCTGCCAGGAAGTTTCTGAAAACAAAAAAAACAACCCAAAACAAGACAAAAAATCAAAACCAAAACAAACCAATAAAAAAACCCCACTAAGCACTATTTTATCAAAATAGAAGTTTTAAAAGAGACCTTGTTATTTTAATACCAGAAGGAAGCAACTGGAGAATGATGAAATATTTTGCTGAGAGAGGAAGAGTTGTCATGGAGCAGGTTGTGTGGAAAGCCCCTCCTTGACCCCTGCATTGACAAGTGTCCCAGTAAACACTGTGCTGTTATCCCTTCCTTTGTTGAGCAAATTCATTCACAATCTTAACACTTTTTCCTGAGGTTGATCCAAGGGAGAAGTGGCTAATCTTTGTTTACTGGTAATTGGAGAGGGATAACTTGGAGGTGTCACATCTGTTGGTCAGCAGTGGATCTGGCATCCTGCTCTGGGGGCTGTAATTGATGCCCTCGGTGAAGGTTCTGGAGAAGAGGTGCTTCTGGTAGGTGTTGATATGAACAGCAAACCCTGCTGCTGCTGCTGCTGCTGCTGCAGCCAAGGACGGCTGTCTGGGGAGGCACAGGCAGCAGAGGGAAAGGAAAGCACTGGGGCTGGTGAAGGAATTGGGTGGAGGGACAGCATGGGAGTGACATTGCTTGGAAAGGAGATCCAAGCCCAGCTGTGGTGCTGAGCAGCACATTTATCCTGGAGGGACAACTTGGGTGAGCATGGTTTCTTTCTAGTTACTGGAATGGGCAACCTTTGTGAAGCTGGGCATTTCTCGCTGGAGCTTGGTGTGGAGCTGGGAAATCTCTTAGAACACCTTTTCCTTTTGGAGAAGTCTCTTCTGCAAGTTGTGTCCTGACTGCTGTTTTCTTGAAATGATTCCTTAAAGTGGATAAATTGTTACATTTGCAGCGAAAGGAGAACTTGTCTCCATCTGCCTTGTACAAGAGTGACACCTGGACCCGCTGAGTTCCTGTGCCTTGAACACAGGTTATAGCCTGTTGGGACTCTTGTATCATCAGCTCTGCTTCTGGGCTCCTTCCTCCCCACAAAAATCTTGGTGTTCCTCTTTTGCTTCAGGACAGAGATTTTTCTGATTTAAAAGTTGTGTTAATGCAAGGCTATCACATCCTACTTTTCAGCATTTAGGGCTGAAATCAGATTTCTTTTTTTTTTTTTTACCATTTCCAGAATGATCTTAAGCAGCCATTTTTATAAGGGCTTTGCTGCAGTGAAGCTGAGGATCCAGTGTCACTAAGACTTTACTTTTGGATAGGTTACAATTTCAGATATTGTTGTTTAAAGATTGTGTACACAGGAGAACAGTTCATATAGTTAGCAATTTTAGGAGGCAGATAAAGCATCATCTTCTGTCACTCCTTTATTATAGTTTTTATTGATGACTGGGAAAATAATCTTAAATGTAAGATTTGCAAACAAAAAATAAAAATGCAAAGAAATGCAAATAAATTGAAATAAATTGAAATGCTCAGGTTCATGGAGACTACTTCACTGCACTTTTTTTTGTATCAAAAGTGATTTGACTTGTGATAATGAGTAGTTTAATGAAAGCAATTAATTAAATTATTTGTTCAGGCAATTTTCCACCATCCCTAAGCCTCCATCATTATGCCGCACACAGAGGGAAAGGAAAAAAAAAAGGTAGCAAGACATCAGGCAAAAAAATCCAGCAAAATGAGCAAGGAATACTTTAACAGATTCACAACCACCAGGATGTATGTGAAAACTGGACTAAAACTTTTCTGTGGCCTTTTGATTATGCTCAGTAAATTGGTAACCCTGCTTTATTTTGAGGACAAGGGTGTTCAGACTCTTTTTGTAGCCATCCTCTAGAGCTGTGCACTGAAACCCAACACCTTTTACTTATTTCCCTAGATACTCTAATCCCTCCCTGCTTTACCAGTATCTTTGAGCTGTTCTTCCCTCTGTATCCACAGCAACGTCAATCCCTGCTGGAATTATTTGCTTCTAAAATGCAGGTGCACTTGTTTAGCGTTGCACTGCTTCAGGCTCGTAACTTGAGGACTTTTTTCACCGCACGGGAACCTCCCGTTTGCCAAACTCCACTTTGCCCTGTTTTGTGTCGGGCATTGTTGTATTTATCAGCAGCATCTGAGTCACAGCCCCTGTCCTGACAGCACTGCCCGCGTCCAGGACCTTGGCTGTTCTTCACTTAAGAGCTTTTCGGCACCAGTAAGGAGTCAAAAGCTGTAGTAAATGAGCCATCCTTTAGTTAACCTAGAAATAATAAAGCTCAGAATCCCCCGCCTGTCCCCCCGTGGTGGCTGTGCCGGTGCCGGCAGGAGCCGCAGCTCCCCTCTGGAGCTCGGGCTTGTCTTTGAGCGGCCGTGTGCGTGGAAATGCATTTTAAATCCCGGGGTTCCACGTGCCAGCCACGCTTCTGGAGCCAGGCCTTTGCGACACAGCACACGGCATTTGTTACTTGGGTAAAGATTGTGATGATTTGCACAAATGCCGGCAGCGGCAGCAGCAGGGCTCTGCCCGCGCGTGTGGTGCTGTGCTGTGCCGGGAGCTGTGCCTGGGCACCAGCCCTGCCCCGGGGGATGCCAGCCACCCTGCCCGGGGATCCCAGCCACCCTGCCCCGGGATGCCAGCCACCCTGCCCCGGGGGCTGC